ATCACCAAAAAATGGAGGATAACCACATAATAAGACATATGTAATAACCCCAATTGACCACATATCAACTTCCATTCCATATCCTTTTGCATTTAATACTTCAGGAGCAACATAAACTGGTGTACCACAAGCAGTTAATAATATTTGTGCATCTTCAGTAATCATTTTAGAAAATCCAAAATCAGCAATACGAACATCAGTATCATCATCAGGACTTTTTAATAATATATTTTCTGGTTTTAAATCTCTATGAACAATGTTCATTGAATGTAAATATCCAATAGCAGAAATTAATCGTTTAACAACAATTTTTGCTTTATCTTCTGGATAAAATGTTTTATCACTAATTCTATCAAATAACTCTCCTCCTTTAACTAGATCAGTTATAATATATAATTTACCATCATTCCCATCAAATACATCATATAATTTAATTATATATGGATGGTCAACCATTTTTAATATTTTAATTTCACCTTGAAGCTTTTGTGGATCTGATTTAGCTGTATCTATCACTTTTACTGCAACTTCTTCATTTGTTGATTTTTTTATTGCTTCATAAACTACTGAAAATGCACCTTTTCCAATTTCTTTTTTAAGAAGATAATCTCCAACTTCCTTTGACATACCAACTGAACTTTGTAGTTCTTTTTTGGACACTTTGTTTGTAGGAATTTATTATTATCTATCTTTATAACAATTTTTATTCTTTTTTTGTTGTTTATTTAAAATTTTTTTTATTTATGGAATTATTTGTTTCTGTAAATAATATTTTGTTCATAATTCAATATGACTTATATCTATGAAGGTTTCTTATCACTTATACTTACAGTTATTAATATTAATGAGAATAACCAATAAATTCTAAGAAATAACTTTTATATTATATAATTTAAATAAAACTATTTTCAGTATTTATTAATATCTTAGTTATTAAGATTTTATCTTACAATGAAGCATTGAATAAAATGAAAGAGACTTAAAAAAAGAAGAACATACGAAATAAACATTGAAACAATGTCAATTTAATATTATTATATAAATATTAAATGGGTACCACAAGAAATAATCATTCATAAAACTAACACAAAAATAAAAAATAAACTATTTAATATATTTTATACAAACAAATAATCCAAAAACATAGACTTTAAAAAAAGTATTTTTTTGTTGTGAAAATTCCAAAAGTTTTATAGAATGATATTGAAAATTAAATTTTAAGCTATTTTCAAAAGATTCATATTTAAAAATAACTTATTACAATAAAAGATATTTTTTGTTATTTAAAATTATTTTTAATAGAGCAATAATAATTCAAAAGAGACTTAAAATCTCATACCAAACAACAATAATTTCAAAGTTATAAAATTCTACCAATCAAATAGAGAGTATCTCCAGAAATTTTTAATAAAATTTTTTATGTCAATATTTAGGATACAATTATAGTCTAAATGAAATCAGGTTGTATGGAAAAAATAAGTTATTAGAATTTATTATACTTTTTAAAACAATATCAGATATAAATTAAATATAATTTAATAAACAACATATATTTTTTCTATTAAAAATTTTTTATTACCTTTGATAATCACATACCACCTCTTTGTTTTTAATTTTTAATATTCTTATTATTGTTTAAATTGATTGAAGTAATTGGTTGTTATTAATTTAACTGTTTATATAATTCATTTAATAATTTGTGTTTTTTTAACTTATTGCTTTATTAAATTGAAAATAATCACTGTTCAAGTTTATTATAACAATGATAATTGATTGGATTTATTTTGGTTTTTGTTTTAATTTCTCATCATTGAAGTTACTCTAATTATGTTAACAATAAAACTATCTTTTTTTACTTTGTATTTTTTATAAATCAATTTAAGTATTTTCAATTTAAGTTAAATTAAAGTTAAAACCATTTAATTCAAACTAAGTATAATAAAATAATCTGTAATTATTATAGAAAATTGTTTTATCCCATACTGACTAAGTACATTCAGTTATTTTATACTTTTTTTTAATTTTATGTAATGTTTGAAATAATGAAAGAGTTGTATCTAATTATTTCCTTTTAGGAAGTTGAAAGTAATAGATGTTCATTTTGTGTTATGTTTGAAATACTATTTTTAAACAAAAAATAAGTTTATTTCTAAATCATTTTTGTAGACATTAGATAATTAATTTTTTAATTTTTATTTGAAGAAGATTTTAGAAAAAATGTGCTATTCTTTTTTTGGTTCTGAATCAATCTTATAACAAACCACTAATAGAAAAATAATCACTAACATAAATAAACTTCATATATATATCTTTTAGAAGAAATAAATAAAAAACTGTTCAGTTAATTACACAAATAACACTACCTCTAAGATTAATCACGATTAGTAGGAAAATATCCTTTTAAATAACAGTATAACAACAAACCTAAGATAAATAAAAGATAAAAGGAATATAAAAACAGAGAAAAACTGTTAAATGAATGAATAAGTTATTATACTTCAAATACTAAAAAGTTTAGTAAAAAATACTTTAAATAGTTTTAAATTTTTTATAAAATATTAAATAAATGAGTGGAAAAAAAACAAGTCATTTTCAAAGATATATATTTAATACGGAAGTAGATGTAAAAGTTTAAAGGAAAAAGGAAAAAAAGTCTAATTTTTATTACTAATTTACTATTCTACTTAAATAGCCTTTTTTATAATAAGTGATATATGTCACAAAATTTATTGATTGAGTAACGCTTCATTACTATGATTTTCATTAACCAACGATGCGATGCGATAATTTTTTTAGTAAGTAATGTTAGATTATAGAAAGAAGAAAGGAAACAACATAAAAGAGGAAATGTTAAAAAGTAATGTTTAATTAAAGAAATTTTTAGTAGTCAATTTTATACCATTTGAGAGAATTTTTATTCTTAAAAATAAATCTTAAATAAGAAGATATTTAAGGATGTATAAAAAAAGAGAAAGAAAAGGGGAATTTTATTTGAACCTCAAAGGAAAATAAATAAATCAGGTTATCTAAAAATAAAAATTGAATTTAAGAAAAAAAGAAAAGAAAAGAAACAGATTTAGATAATAACATATTCAAATCATTAATTTATAATTGGTTTATAACAAAAGAAACACATTAATGCGAACAACTATTTTAAGTCTCAAATATAATTTAAAAACTAAAATAACTAAAATTGCATGTCAAAACTTATTAAAGGAGTTGGATACTTTGATTATATGGCAGATGATCCAGCAATTGATAAACAATCCTCTAGATATAAATTTACCAAATGGAGAAATTATCAAGCATTACAAGAAGCATTTTTTATTGGGTTATTAAATCAATTTGCAACAATTACTATCTGTAAACCTTCTAAGAAAACAACTGTAACAATTCAATTTATTAAAATACAAAGTATTCAATTAGAAAGACAATATGATGAAATTCCTTTTTCATCATTTATTGCAGAGAGATGTAAAAAAAGAAAAAGTAATGATATAAAACTAGGTGTTCCAGAAAAAACTGCTCAAAGAAGATTTGAAAACAATAAATTTTCAGAAGCATTACATTTCCTTG